TATACTTAATAAATAAACCATTTTTTCGCTGCGTCTTAACTATGAAAGAAAGGCACGCTAAGCCAGTTCTTCTTCTTCTTCTTGGAGTTTTTTTTATGGCGGATTAAGTTGCATACCGCCACCTAGCGCACCGGAGTATGGGTCTAATTTCTGTTTGTCAGGTTAACATGAGCTTTCCTAATGTTGTGTCCGAAACACAGAGCAGGGTCTATGATGTGCTTCTTCCCTCCATACATGCATGTACATGCTTGGACCTTTACCTGGTTCACAGATAGGAACAGTTATTATTATTTCCCATATCTTATTATACAGTAAGCCTTTACTCCTATCACAAACTTGTTTGATCTTCTACAATTGTCTTTCCATTTTTTTTTAGACATTAATAAGACATTATTTATTTGGTCATTGAAAACATCTTATTGAACAAAAATCACATCATATCAATTGTATTTCCGAATTCATTTTCATTCAGTGCTTCTGTTTCTTGCTATTGTTCCTTCTCTTGCCTTTGCCTTATCTTTCACTCTCTGATATCCCTTTTCTTTTCTATTACCAGACATTCTCTCTAACTGCTTATTCCTACCTAATGAATTATTTTTTGTTCATTTTATTGTATTTCTCACCTACTGCCTGCTCTATCTTAAATTAATACAATAAAAACAACAACTTGAAAGGCTTTATTTCTTAACTTTTTAATCATAAATCATCTCAATCAATCAAGCTTTATGGCTGTAGTCGTAAAGACTTTACTCATCCTAGGAAAAGGAGGTCCAACAAACTTGTTTGTACCGCTGTGTTCAGTCAGACTTGACTGTGCAAAGAGAAAAGACTTTAAAAATGAACTTCGCTCCTCTGGCTGCTTCCCTCAACCCTGCAAAGGTAACGTAACGTTGTTAGCTAACGTTAGCTAGTTAGCTACGTGTCGTTCTTACGACTTGTACGGAGAAGTCCAAGTTAATGATACATTATTATAATCATAGGTGGTCTATCGCTATCCTCAAAACTGGATTTTCATTTCACTGCCTTTGCAATGCATAGATTCCCACTCGTCCTCTTATACATATCAGTATTTGTAGTATACACAACACTTGTTCCGTCAATCTGACCGCGTGGCCTAATGGATAAGGCGTCTGACTTCGGATCAGAAGATTG